CTTAGCTCCAAAAACATGAACATGTGGTACCCGGCATCTGGTTCCAGTATGACAATGTGGCAAGCATCAAGCACTGGAAGCTCATCAAATCCTTTAAAAACACTCTTAACCCTCCCGGGGATTTACTAACTTCTTGCTGACAACCAGAGTGGAACAGACATGTAACTTGAAATAGGCAGTCTGTACACATCTAGGAAAAGCTGAAACTCAACCAGAAAGCCTGTGCATGCTTTTCCATTAATACGCATTATTGCTATATATGGAGAAGAATAATTAATATATATATATGTATATAACAAGCACAGCTTAAAAATATGCACAAAACAATAGATATAAAAGCTTTCAAGAGAGGTGAAGTAAGATTCCTAGTACTGAATGATATCTAAAGGCTTTGCTTCCTACCTGATAGGCTGTTCTGACGAGTATCATTCACCAACCAAAAGTAAAGCACACAGTTGAGTACTCTTTCAGATCAAAATCTGACAGCTCAATACCTTGCAAAATTGGGCGAGTCATGAAGTCTGACTTTTGTTCTTACCTCCTTATTGCTCCCGTTCCAGTTTCCATCAGATGAAGGAATATTTGGCCTCTTCTCCCACCATCCAGATACCTGATTCAGTTAAAAACCAGTGTAACGCAGGATATACAAAAGCTGTGTTTTAAAAATCAGCCTAAATCCAGTGATCCTTATATTCTCAAATGCTACACTACACAGCCAGAAAATTAAATATGAGCAGCATTATATCATGTTTAATGAGAGATCTTTGTTAAGATAGTATTGCCATTATAACCGTCATTTTCATTACCTTTTTGCATTAAGATTTCAACACTTCAACTCTGAAAGTTACATGATTTAGTTCACAACCATGAGCGTTCAGCCCTAAGTGCTCAGAAATCCCTGCTGGTTTCCATTATGATATCTACATCTGGAAGGAAAACAGAATTTCCCAAAACATGCTTCATACCTATATGCTTATACAGCCACAACACTGAAAAAGAGTGAAGAATGACCTGAAAAGTTCTCCACCTGCAAATTGTCGGAGTTGCAGTACTTGTCATCCAAGAGTCTGCAAAGTTAAACGTGCTGCAGCTCCGTCATAAAGTCAAGACAGCAGACTGGGTTGTTGATATTTTAAAGGCTGCTCAAAGATACTTCACAGTCTCATTTCTACTGTTTTCACAAGTTCCATTCCCATTACTTAAGCAATGCACACTTGGGGAGAATTCTGTCTGCCCTAGCTGTCAACTCCCATATTTTCACCAAATGTCTTCAGACGTAATTTAGTTGGGAATGGGAAGGGTGCATTTGCCAAATTCAGAAATATTGAATATATTTAGCTACTTTAATGGCATTCCTCTTCATATGAGACCCACAACATTTCTGCCCACCAAATTTTGCAAGTATAGAACTCTAACAGCAATGAATGGGACAGACTTAGGCTGAAACTAATCTGTGCGTCTAGTGGTTTAGGGTGCCTTATGGAAGAAAATAAAGCAGAGCACAAATATCAGCACACAAAGTTTTTCACTTTTTTTTTTTTTTTAAAAAAAAAAACAAACCAAAACCCTTCCAAAATATATTTCCCAGTCATCTTATTAGAAATCCTCAAAAGGAAAAATAACAAGTTGACAATTTGGATGATTGGGGAGCATCCAGTTTTTTAACTGTTCAAAGGACAAGCAAAAAAAACAAAGCAACAAAAACCCATTTAAACATGGTAGACCCCCATTTTGCTCCCTGGACAATTGATCAGGGCTCTACATGGGAATATGGACACATCCATATAGAAAAACATACAGGTTAGTCATCAAGGTGCTTAAGGTAAGTATAACAGACACTGAGCTCACACTTCAGCTATGTGTCACTCTTCAGAGATCATAATGGCAAAAAGATCAACTAATGCTGATGGCAATTTAATACACTCCCTGTGATTCCTTCCCGAAGACAAACAAATTTTCCATCTGATGAGGAAACAGTTCTAGAGCATCTCATCATAACAAGCCACACAATAAACACAGCAAATACAGAAGCAATGAAGTCTAAAACATGAGGCCTAGAGTTCAGCAAAGACAAAGCCTGTAAGACTATCGCAACTGGAGAGCAATAAATATGGCATTGTCACAAGAGAGGTATTCCATTAAAATATTTGCATGTATGGCGTTAAATGAGTTTACTGGGGAGTACTGACCCTTAGATGATATGAACTACTGCAGCCTTCAGTGTCAGAGCCTTATCCCCAGTTCCAAGTGCAGCAGCTTTGCTTTTACACCTCAAAAGGTTCAGCTTAACCCCTGCTTTGACAAACATGCTGTCACATCAGCACCACCTGAAGAGCAATGCCTACTGAAAACTGGGGAAAGGATGTCTTTGCTTACATATCTCATGCTAGATCTTTTGAAAGTGATACAGCATGTATACCTCTATTTCACATTTTCTTCGTCTTAACAGATAGGAGAAGCCTGCCTCCTTTCTCTTTTTTCCCAAATATATGTTATCAATCATTGCTTACAAGTTGAATAGGGGAAGGAAAAATAACGAAATGCTCTCCCTTCTCTAAATTCACAATGAACAGGTTCTGCTCCTGTAAATTTCATTACGCAATCCATCCATTCTCCCTACAAGACAACTTGCCCCACTAACCTCAAAGAAAAATACTCATTTGAAGCACTCAAAAATATATATCCCTAAGGGAATGTGAACACTTAGCTTGCCCAATTTTTAAGGATTTTGTTTTACCCTTTACCTCTGAAAGCATTTTTCATGCATATCCCTCCATCAGCATAGTTTTGAAGCAAGCACTGGCTTAAAAAAAGCAGAAAGAAGTAAGCTAGCCATTCACAGCAACTTGGAAAATTGGAGTTAAAATTAATTTGCAAAAAAACAGTGATGCTCAAGAGGAAACGTTGGCAAGCAAAGAGATATGGAAAGAGGGAAGCTGAGACTGCCGTCCCAGTTGAAGTATCAAGCAAAAATTTATAGAAGCTGACCTCTCGAGGCACCTATCAGCTGAAACTGGTGTTGTGAGTGCTCATACTTTAGACAGCCATGCCCTAAATGACCACTCCATATGACTCAATCAGAAGTTATAAAATAATTTAACCTAACTAACGCTGTTCTGATATTGCAGACGAGCACCTCCAACATCCTTGCTGCTAGCCACATCTTGGCCAGCCAACAGCTCTGGAGACACCAATACAACTCCTGGCTCCTCCCCCAAGACCTGGTGAGGAACCAGGGCAACCTTCCCTCCCGCACCATGGGAAACCTCTCACCCCATGTGCTCAAAAGAAAGCCTCCTTGAGCAAGCAAGCAGGTCAACTGCAGGCTGTGCCAGGAGGAGGAAGAAGCGAGGAAGGGCTGAGCCAACCTGCTGCAGCAACCCAACAGCAACAAGGAGCAAGTGGAAAACTAATGATGCTGCCTCCTGCTTCCCAGTGGCTGCAGGCTGCAGGTGTTACACCACCATTACTTTAAAAAACAGCTCTCCCCCAAAAGAGCATATTAGCTGGAGATGCTAATGTTTAATTAGTCAGTAACACATGGAGTATGATAACAAAATAATCAGGCCATATAAGTTTAAGTGCGTACATTTGGTTTATCATAATAAAGAGATTACTCGCATACATTCACATGATTTGCTGTATTTGTTATACACATGCTGTGGCCTTCCACTGTCGTCTTTACGACAAAAAATTAAGCAGATGAATTCACACAACTCAAGACTTCACACCAATCTATTCATTTTGAGCTATTTTGGACTTTTCATCTGGCAAAGGTATTCCAGTCAGTCATCGTAGAACACTTGGACCTTTAACTTGTATGGGACCACTCACATACTTAAGCATAAATGTATGACTAAATGTTGGCAGAATCAAGGCATTAAGGCATCTCTACACATTTTTACCACCTTTTCCCATGATTTGTAGTTTACTTAGAGAGTCATAACCTTATTAAACTCTTAATAAAAGCACAATAGTCATAACAGACTTAATTTTCTAAGTGAAAGTTCATTTTCTTTAAAGAAAATGGCTTAAAGGGAGAGCTGAGACCTCATGGGAATTGAGGATGAATGCTTTTTCCCCTTGTTACAAATCCCCTTTGACTCTTCCCCACTGAGACTACTGGAAATGTTGGCACTGATTTCGACAGACCCCAAATTTCTTTTTTTATTTAAGCAGCTTATACATGAGCAGATAATAGAATGGGAAAATATGTTTGTCAGCATGGTAAGGCTCTACTAAAAATAATCTTTACAGTTGTAAAATATCCTTGTGAATAAAGCTGCATGTCAACAAAGAAGAGACAGATCACCTGGGAGCGGGAGACACATCTATCACATGATGCTCTGTACTAAAATACCTGTGGATCCAAGAATATAGGTCTAACGCCTTTCTTTGCGTAAAGCCTTTAGGCGTGAACCACTGTTGAAACTGGAAATACCCTGTGCACTCTGGTGTTCCATTAAAAATTGTTTATGAATGGCTGTGTGAACTGAGCTGAAACCTTTCCATCCATCCTCCTCCTGACCTAATATCAAAGCTATTTTGGCCTCATACACAGAAATCACAGATCAGCTGGTAGGGGAGTGCTCAGCACACACTTTAAAACATGGACACAGCTGGGCTAGGAGCTCCTGCCCCCCAGTCCTGTAGTGCCAGGTTGCCCACAGGTGGGATTTGCCCAGTTCATACTGCAAACAGCATCTTCACCGTGTCCCAATACACATCACCAGGCAGATCCAGCTTGTGACAGGTGAAGGAGGTCCTGCTCTCAAGTTACTATTCTGGGGGCTTCTGAAGAGAAAATCTCCATGGCATTTTTACATCTCTTTACTGCTTTAGAGATTAAAGTATGGGGAATAAAACAAAGCCCACATATATCTCCTAAAATATTATTTTCGGTGCCTAACCCTTTTTTTTTGCACAGTGGCTTTAGAGAAATATTTTCCAAAAACTACAGTTTTTTAGTAAAGGTGTTAGAATGAACATAAGGAAAACAGTTTTTGCAACAAATGCTTCTTTTATTACCCAGCTAATAGGATGGGAATTTGTAAGTCCTCAAACCAAAACTTCCATGCTTGCAGTCATCTACTCAGCTGTCTTTTACAGCTGAGTAAAATCATCACCACAACGTATTTCATTTTCAAAGCTGAAAAAAATGAAACTACGGATTTCCTATTGAGAATGCAATGATTTGTATAATGGGACCTTTTAGAGTTGCTTTCTGTTCACCCAGTAAAATGTGCTTTTTTTCACATCCTCCAGCACACTTGCTTTGCCACAGCTAAAGTGAAGCCCCAGAGACAGAGAATCCTTCATGTCCTAAAACCTGAACAAGTCGTTGTCCAATAAAGACTAAATAGGAAGCAAACATCTAAATCCTTTATGAGAGATGCTACTTTTGCAATAAAACCAAAATTAATGATCATTAGGATGCATGCCTGCAATAAGGAGGGGAATATTATAACAATAATGCATGTGCAATTTCTTTTAAAACATAGATTAAAATAATTCATACATGTCATTGCCGATTGTTATAACTAAGTTAATATTTGCATAATGCCTTGAAAATAGCAATGCTGAAACCAGCAGGTATCCGGTTATATGGCGGCTGACATACAACCCAGCCCGGGCATGGGGATGTAGCACAGAGATGTGGGTAGTCACTTGTCCTGACAGCACTGGACTCAGACCTGTTCTCAGGTCCAGACTCAGACCCAGAACTGATCTCTTAGAATCACATGGAGAGGTTTTCTTTCTAACGTAAAGGTGATTATTTTTTTAAACGATACTCGCACATATGTCTCAGTAACAATAAACATCAGGCCTCATTAATAGAAAAGATGACTCCAAAATATAAGACCATACTTTGTTAGTGGAAACACCCATTTCTGAAACGTGTGAAAGATTCTTACCCAGGCTCAACTGTTGAGAAAACGACAAATTGTCAAAGAACAGCTCTGTAACATCACATGAAACTGCACTGAATCAAATTTAACTATAAATTACATTGCTATACTGCAATTGTGTCATTAGTAATATAATACGTCCCCCACAAAAAATACAAGTTTCACTATTTAAAAACACTAGATACATGCCAAATTGGGAAAACAAATTGTACTTTTGAATTTGCAGCCTGAAGATGTGCCACACCACACAGTCTGACAACACAGAGATCTGAAAATAATGCCACAAGCGTTCAACACCTTCGTGTGGATTCAGTGAAAACAGGGAGATCCTCTTACATCTGTGGACTGGAGATCAACCTCTGAGTCTTGGGCTTAGTCAGGGAATTCTGCATGGGAAATCTTGCATATCTTACACTTCTTGATGCTCCTTATCAAACTATAAGAGGATGAGCAGGCAACTTACCCTTAATTAGTGTGAGCATCTAAAGGTCATTACCCACTGTCTCAGCAGAGGTGTTTTGTCATTGACATGGCAAAATCCACAAAGCCCTTTGAAATCATGACTTTTTAACTATCTTATAATTCAAGCATCGAGTTGAAACACTGCTAAGGGTAACTTCTGGTCATGAGACTTAATACTAATCCAGTTTTGAAAAGGGCTAAAAATCTGTACTGCCTCTTTCAACACCATGCAGCATCACACCTGAAGTCATTGCCCAAGCACTGCCACTCCAATCCAAGTGGAAAAGGGTGACTGCTTTTATACCCCAAGCTACCAGGAGGACGCAGGGATTTGTTTGGGGTCAGGGCAGCCTTTACCCTCATAAACTGCTTTTGGTGATCATGTGCCACCATGGTGCCTATAGCTGAGTGTCAGATCCCAGATCACTGTGTAAGGCAACAATTTTTCATCCTTCTTCATCACTTCTGCATCCCGCTGCAACAATGGGGCTGTTTTGTTGATTGATCTAGTTAATACTGGCTATTTATAATTAATAAATCTGAAATGGAAATGGAAATAAAAAGGAAAAGGCTGCCTGCGACCCCAACCCAAAAGCTCCATAAGGCAGTACTAAACAGTTAAGTGGGAAACCTCATCGCCACAAACTGGATGCAGAATTTCATCAAACAAAAAATTTCTTCTTCTCCCACTACAAAAGGCAGTGCGTGACCAACTTGCCAAGCAACAGCTATCAAGAGAAATAATGCCACATTCTTTGAATACATTTGTCCGCATTGTACAGTATCTGCAGCCCAACATCGATGACATCCAAGCTAAACGAATAAATATTTGCATTGCAAAGTTGGATTTGTCTTGGAATACGATCGCTCCTCATGTGGTTTTGACACATGTGCATTGTCAAATAAATCACAGCTCACTGTGTGTGCACATTAAAAATAATCTGTATATCTTGTTAGAAGCCATCGCATACTTCTCTTTACGAGGTGTGAAACTGGCAGGGGAAGGTTTTACACACCGGGGACAACTTCAGATGAAGCCCGTCGAGAGAACATCAAATGCTGCCACCGCCCCACCAACATTGTGAAGCTCAGTTTCCCATGGCGGCCTCCACAATACGGCCCGGGCTGTGCCCTTTCCTCCCGCGGACACTCACCACCCCTGGGGGAAAGGCACAGGTGGGAAACCCGTGGGGCCGCCCCGTCCTGGAGACCGTCGGCCCCCGTGCTCGGCGGGGCCGCCCCGACGGAGCGCCCGGCGGGAGCTCGGGCGAAGGTGGCGCGGCTGGTTCCCGTCCCCGGGAGCGGGGGCGGGCTTACCTCGGATTTCCACACGACGTAGGCGGTGGGGCGAGGTCCGGGCGGCGAGGGCTGCCCCTTCCTCTGCTGCAGCCAGCGCCGGGGCGACGAGAAGATGCTGTTGGCAGGTCCGCTCAGCGCTGAGGCCGACGGGGTGCGCGCCAGAAAGGGCAGCTCGCAGCCGGGACTCCGCTTCCCTCGGGGGCTCTCCTCGTCGAAGAGGACGCTGCCCGGCGGCGACCGCTCCAGTGGGGTGCTGGGGGTGGAGAAGGAGGCGCCGGGGGCAGGCGGCGGGCCCCGGGGGCTGCGACGGTCCCCCAGGGGGCTGCCGGCGGCTCGCAGCCGCGGCGCCCGGCCCGCGCCCTCGCTGTCCTCCCGTCCGCCGCCGATGATGGCGGGGTCGAGGCTGCGCGTCTGGCGGAGCCTCCGCTTGGAGAGGCTCTTGGCGGCGGCGGGGGCGGCGGCGGCCGGGGAGGAGCAGGAGAAGACGCTGCTCAGCAGGCTCTGCGCCGACATCGCGGCGGCCGCTGTCCCGGGCACCCCGGGGGTGACTGGGGGTCCTGGGCTCTCGGTGCCCCTGCCTCGGGGAGCGGTGCTCCTCCGGGGCGTCTCCCGCGCCCGGGCTCAGCCCGCAGCAGCGCGGCCCGACGGCGGCACCAAGGGGCTCATGTCGGCGTCCGGTACTCAGGCTGCTCCGGAGCTGCTGCCGCCGCCGCGGTCACTTTGGTGGGAGGGAGAGGGAGGGAAAGAGAAAAGGAAAAAGAAAAAAAAAAAAAGTTACGAGAGAAAAGGGGAGGGAAGGAGGCTGCAGCGCCGCAGGCTGCCAGAGTCACTCCCCCCCCCGGCCGCGTTGCGCACAGAAGCCGTTTGCCGCGCCCCCGCCCCGTCGGGTCTGGGGTGGCAGGGCCCGCCTGCTTCCCTCCGAGGGCGGGAGACCTAGTCCCCGTGCGACCCACGTCGGGGCGCGGAGGGCAGCCCCACCAGGCTTCGCGAGCACCGGGGCCGCGGCTGCCGGGCGCTGCCCCGCGCGGCCCCGACGGGGCGCTGCGGCCACACTGGCACCGTGCGGGTGCGTTTCGGGGAGGGAGCAAGTTGTTTTTCGGCGCAATCGCTCCGGAGGCACAGCCGGGGGACGCCATCGCCTAAGTATGCCAAGTCCAGCGCCGCTTCACTGTTGCGCCGGCGCCCGGTGGAAAGAGCGGGGCTGCGGGTCCTAGGTGGGACACGCATATTCTCCCGTTCGTGTCGGGGTGAGCTGTTGCCTTTAAGAAAAACTTATAGCTATAGGCAGGATGCTCAGAGCGTGCAGTACACACGTCTGCAGGGCTATCGGGACTGGGTCTTCAGCGGAGCTCAACCAGCAGTTATGTTCTGGCCCAAGACTGTGTTTTCATCCTTTGCCAATTTGAGAAGATGGCCTTACATATTTAACCACAACGGACATTTACTTTGCTCTGCTACTCCTGTGTGACAGTCCGCGCAGAGGGACCCCGCGTAGAGGTCATGAGTCCACGTGGACATAAGTCCCACAGGTAGCGTGGATCACACAAGATCTCTAACTCTTCAGGTGGGAACCTCACAGCAGCAGAACAAAAGGAGAGGGACCAGTGAAGCTAAGGTTCCTCGGGACAAATAAACTTGCTTGATCCTGTGCAGAGACTTTCTCTGCTCTCTTCAAGCATAGGCATAGAAACCTTTAGCAGGAGAAAGGAACAAGCTTGAGAAAGGCCAAACTGTACAGAAACACAGGAGTGGAACACGTGAAGAGGAAGAATACTGCACAGCGCCATGAAGGCTGGCAGCCAGCAAGCCAGCTCAGTCCCTACCTGGGCTGGAGGAAAAAGACCCTCAGCCACAGGATCCAACTCCTGCCCTCCTCTCCTGGTGGGGATCTTTAGATTCTCTCCTCACTGGAAGCAGTTCAATGGCAATGGTTGTCAGGTTCTTTACGGAAGACCCACACCATACTTAGTGTTTCAGCTTTATTAAGCTGCAGCTGTTGTCTGCATGGGTAAGTTCAAATCTGTTTCTTATTTGTCAGTGAAGGCTACAGCCGTTAAATTTTTTGAGATGAAAGGCAAAACACACCCAAACCCTGTTCTGCTTCAAGACCTATTTTTTTTTACTTATGGAGGGAGTGGAAGACATTTAAGGACAGACCACCTAATAGCTCCAATGCAAGTCTTGAATCTCACCTGTTTCAGACAAAACCACTGTTAAGATTACTGATTCCATGGGGCCTAAGCATCCTTCTTTTGATCTGAGAAGCCACAAGCTCCACGGTCTCCCCAAAAGTATCACAGACAACTCTTAAAATTCCATAGAAAAAGACAGACTATTTTGAAAAACATACCCAAGCACAACACAGGGGTTGTTTTTCTTAATTCCCATGCTGCATTTTCTCCTCAAACCCTAGTGCAGGGTTGTGTGTCCTCCCAGGTGTTCTTGGAGCCCATGCAGGTTAAGTGCTGTCTGGCAGCATTTTCTAGTTTCATCAATAGAGGGAGTAGACATTATCAAGAGGGAGTTCTCTCCCTTGTGGCATTAAGGTTCATGAAGAGAACCAGCGCACTGGCCTGTCTGCTTTCAAAGGGAGGTGTTCTGATCTTGTTTCCATATGGGATTTTTTTTTATTTTCCTGAAAAGGAGCTTTTCCTCCTTATTGTAATAAGCTGTTCTATTGCCTAATTCCAAAGACTACTAGTTCCTCCACATCTAGAGTTGCAGCTGTTTCTGTTTAAAGCTTCATTTTGCTTCCTCATTAATGCCTTCAATAACATCTCATGCTTGAGACTTGAAAGAAGTTCTAAAGCATAAAACAATGACCTGAGTCTGCTTCTGCAGTTCTGTGCCCATGCTAGCAATTTGGTTAAGAGACACATGTCTGCAATATAGCTATACAGATGTGTGTCTCCAAGTATACACCTTTTTTATCCTCTACAAATAAATCATGGGAAAATAAAGGCAGAGAAAAACACGAAGAATAAGGCAGAGGGGCAAATTCAGAGCTGTGAGGAGCTCATCCCATGAAGAACAGAGAGGATGGTCACGCCTGCCTCCAAAATCTGCTGGAAACAGTTCCTGACATTCTCAGTAAGGTGAACAGCCCACTTGTCAGCTTAGGAGTAGCTACTTAAATGAAGTGGGAGCAAAGCATTCTTATTTTCACCTGCTTCACCCAGGTATTACTATGGCACAGCTTGTTGTCTCCATGAAAGCCCTCATAAAAAATTGGAGTATAGTTTTCATGAGACAGAGAACTGGAGAATCACAGCTCAAATTCAGTGAGTAAATACAGCATATGTATAGAGGTGCTTCACGTAGACAACTTTACTACCTGTCTTAGCTGCTGTCTGTATCTTTGGGGCAATACCAATGTAAGTGCTTACTGATTATTTTTTAAATTGCTGTTTATTATCACTGTGAACTGCATTATTGAGAGACCTGACAACACCACCCAGGCAGCTAGACTCTGCGGCTCTGGTGAGCGCTGTACAAGCACAGAGCAAAAGGAAAGTCCTACTCCCCAAACCTCCAGCCACAAGACCTGTGCAGCCATACATGCAGAGGGATAGTGACCCAATACTAGTCATCAGCCCTTCTCTTCCAAAGCAAAGCTGTTTGTGTTACTGCTGCCTGTAAGACTGCAATTATCAATCAAGGAATTAGGCAGTCCTTCCTGGAGCTGTGAGTAGCAATATAAGCAGTGGATGTGCTGACTTCTGAAGCTAGAAGGGTTTTCCTAACAGTTTCCATTATCATATTTGTTTACAGTGAAAGTTTCAGCCTGATGAGGATGTTTATTCTTTCCTCTGTCTGACTACCTGTCACCACCTTGTGCAGAAGTCAGCCAATTTACTGCAACGTTAAAGATCCCTCCTCAAAGTTTCAAGTCTGTATTTCTGAAAGGGAGCAAGAGTGATATGGATCTATAATACAATAAGAATTCAGAAATATTTTGAAGGCTGAGCGTATTTGACAGTTATGATTTTCCAGTCATTGGGTTTATTCTGAAATATTTTCAGTCTTAGCATACAGGTCAGGAATATATAAGAATCCCCTGTGCTTCACCTGCCTTAATCCATGGATGATAGGAAAGCAGTGGACAGGAGACTTTTGGCATGGTCTCCCACAGCTGCCTTGTTGAGACAATTAGAGATAAAAGACAGATTTGATCATAATGATGAATGGTTCATACTCTACCTGTAAGCTGTTTACAAGTTCTTCAGAAGCCTATCTTAAGACCTGTCCTGTTTAATATGCATATCAAGAGCCTTGAGGAGACACAGAGTTCACTCTTGTCCGGTTTGTGGACAACATCATATTATGGCATACAGTCAATATATTCCAGGAAATGGCTGCCATTCAGAGGGGCCTAGATAGGCCAGATGAATGGGAAGACAGGGGTCTTACGATAGTCAGAGAGGACAAATGCACTTGGTGAGGACTAATCCCCAGCATTTACATGGGCTAGGGACTGACAGGCTAGGGAGCAGCTCTGATGGGAAGGACCCCAGGTGCCTTGGTGGACAATAGACCAAACATAATGCATCAGGGAGCCCTGGCAGGGATGAGGGCTAACAGCATCCTGGGCTGCATCAACAAAGGCATAGTCAGTAGACCAAGAGAAGTGATTATTTGCTGTTACATAGCATTCGACAGACCTTATCTGGAACACTGTAGGTAGTTTGGGTGCCCCCAATTAAGGAGGACTTTTATAAACTTAAGTAAGGCCCTTGGAGAGCCACCAAGGCAGTTGGGAGCTGGAACATTTGCCCTGCAAGGAAAAGCTAGACTTGTTCAGCCTTGGGAAGGGTAACCTAATAGCAGCCTTTCAGTATCTTCAAGGGGTTTACTGAGAAAGTGGATAGACTTCTAAACAAATCTCTGAAAATAAGGGTGAATTAGAAAATAGGAGCATTTTGCTACTCTCATTACTTCTTTAGAGTTTATTAAGCATTAAAAAGAAAACAAAAAAAATACTCTTTCACCTTATTAACCAGTGTAATGGTGTAGTGACAAGGAAGAAAATTGCCTACAGGGCTGCATCTCCTATAAAGACATGGAATTACTGAATGATAGCATGGTTTGGGCTGGAAGGGACCTTAAAGATCATTTAATTCCAACCCCCTTGCCACGGGCAGGGACACCTTACACTAGACCAGATTGCACAAAGCTCCTTCCAACTGAGCCTTGGACACTGCAAGGATAAGGCAGCCACAGATTCCCTCTTCCTGTGCCTCTCTGGGCAACCAGTGTCTCACCACTCCCATAGTGAAGAATTTCTTCTTTATGTCTAATCTAAATCTCTCCTATTTCAGCTGAAAGCCATTCCCACTTGTCCTGTCACTACATGCCCTTTTAAAAAATTCCTCTCCAGCTTTCTTGTAGGCCCCTTTAGGTACTGAAAGGCTGCTATAAGGTATCCCTGGGACCTTTTCTTCTCCAGGCTGAACAACCCAACCTCTCGGCCTGTCTTCACAGGAAGATGAGAGACGAGAATGAGGAAGACAAGATAACAACCCAGCTCTCCATTCCTCTGAGCATCTTTGTGGCCCTTCTGCAGTAGGTCTGCGTCCTTACGTTCTGCTGTTTTTTACCTGGCATGGGACCTGCCGGTCAGTTGCTGAGACACACTGAGAAGTCCTGGCAAGTGTTTGCTCAGATTGGCTATAGTGCTTAGCTAGGACAGCTGGATTGGCAACAGCACCCTTAAAAACCAAACCAAACCAAACCAACAACTAAAACATTTTCTATAAAGCGAAAAGGATAAAAAGATGCTTATTTGTACTGAAGAGTGATGGAATGTCACTACTCCTCCAAACATTTGCTTTATTGGAGCAATAATAATGGCAAGTGACTGCTACTGCATGCCTACCGTACAGTAGCATGTATATGTAGATATATAGCAAGTGTGTATACATACACAATATTCTATATATAACTCTATAGTTTTATACAATGTATATGTATAGTGTATATATATAGCATGTATATGTGCATAGTATGTACTGTATATGTATGTCTATGTGTTTATACGTATATGTATAATATCGGTCTATACATATAGCATATACACTATATAGTCAGATATGGGTTTAATATATATATAATAAACAGTAGATACGCCATATGCTCGAAGCCCAGCACGTTTAAACGCCGTACAGCACGAACCCGTGCGACACCGCGGGGGCCGTTTAACTCCGTGTCTCACCGCAGGCGGCCCGCCGAGGTGCGCACGCACAGCACAGCATAGCACAACACAGCACAGCCGGGCACAGCAGCAGGCCCAGGCCCGGTCCCGGTCCCGGTCCCGGTGCCGGTGCCGGTGCCGGCGCCGGCGGGGGCAGAGCCGCGGGACGAAAGGGGTGTGAAGCCCGGGTAGTAAGGCCCCGCCCCTCCCGTCCCGGACCCGCCCCCTCGGCCGTACCCCCGCCCCCTGCCGCGCGCCCTGCTCGGAGCCGCCGTGCCGATGCCACGTGGGAAGCGGCGGAGTCGCCGTCGGCGCCGGGCCGGGATTGCGGCCCCCCTGACGCTGGGAACGGCCCTCGCCGGGCGCCGGGAGGAGGGGAGGTCGCGGAGCCCCCGGGACCGCGCCGGGATCGCCGAGACCCGATGGGTGCTCGGCGCGGTGGCGCCCGGCTCGCGACTCGGCCTCCCGGGCCTAGAGGCGCTGGCGGCGGCGGCCGGGCCTAGGGGCGGCTCCCCGCCCTGGGCGGCGCCCTCGCTGCTCCAGGTGCCGGCGGCGGCCCAGCCGGCCCCGCGGAGGGACGGCAGCGACCTGCCCGCCGGCGCGCCGGCCGCCCTGGCTGTGCTGCGCCTACAGCCCGGCGCCGAAGGCTCGGCGCGGGCGGCGGCGGGGGCCGCGCCGCGCCTGCGGACCGTCTACGTGAACCCGCGCTGGCTGGAGCGGCAGGCCGCGCTCGGTGCGGCGGCGGCCGCTGCCAGCCCCTGCTCCGAGGCGGCGGCAGCGGCGGCGGCGGCGAGCGGCGCGTCTGGGGGCCCGGCGGCGGCGGCCGCGTCGGCGGGGCAGGGCGAGGCGGCGGCGGCGGCGGAGCCGGCGGCCACCCCCTACGTAGGGCTGCGGCGGCCGCTGGGCTACAAGCTGGCCAAGGCCACCAAGGAGCGGATCTGGCGGGGGGAGTTCATTGACCTCTTTTCCTTGCTCCACACAGAGCTGGCCCCCGAGTACGGCCCGCGCCCGGGGGACACGCTGGACCAGTGGGTCTCGGCCTTCTTGGTGTACGCCAGCGTGCTGTGCGAGAAGCACCCTGCGCGCTGCGGGGCCATGTTCAAGTACCTGGACACCATCCGGAAGCTGCATGCCACCTACGGGGGCACCTCGTGGATGAACTACGACGAGGACTTTAGGCGGCGGGCAGCCAAGGACCCCAACCTGCCCTGGGGTGATGTCGACCTCGACCTGTGGATGAAGTGGATGGCACCCCTCAAGTCGCTCATCCCTAGAAAGCCGCGTGCTGAGGTCGAGACGCAGGCCTCGCCGACACCACCACCACCAGCACCTGCACCCTCACAGAGCCCCAAGCAGGAGGAGAAAAGCCAGGTGTGACAGGCTGGCGGCCGCGTGTTTCCCCACTGCCCTGGCTGGGCACCGTGCCCCCTCGAAGGGGAAGAGGAGATGGGGACAGTTGAGGCACCCTTGAGTTGGTCAGCAGGTCCCTTGTCATGGCACTGACCTGAGCTCATGCTGACTTTGGTACTTAGTTAATGGTGGGTCATGGTGTCAGCTGGCAAGGCATGTGGCTGCCCGGGTGTCCAGCTGGCCGCCGTGGGAGGTGTGGGCATTGGTGGAGGAAAAAAGCATGCTCTCAGCAAAATAATTGCCGCATTTATTTCTCTCGCCACCAGGAACTGGGAACCTTGCAGATTCCCTCCCCTGGTATATAACAGCATTTTCCTTAAGGCCGTAGAAGAAAGGTGCTTTGTTTTGTTTTTTCCTCTGAGTTGTCTTAAAAGAATTTGCTTTCTCAGCAATAGAATTATCTGTATGTAAGGCAAAGAGTACAGACCCTCCTGTTAACTACAGGAGCATGTGGCAGTTGCAGGCTGTGTAGGAGGCCAGAAATATTGATATGAATAAAGATGAACTTAAACGTGAATGGCCACAGCTGAGATTTGCAGATTTAGTTCACATGTTCTGGCCTGGTTTTATGGGGAAAAATGGTGGGTGTGATTAGGGAAAGTAAGGAAGATTTTGTGTACGTTAAGGTTCTGCTTTCAGTGTAGGCATCCAGTGTCACTGAGTTAGGGTAACATGACGTACGTGGGCAGATCCACCCTCTCTGTGGCCTGGGCTATGACAGTGAGCTCTGTGGCTGTGAAAGGTTGCCTGCCTATATGTAGGGGTTGTGCTGCTTCTCTCAAACTGGTGACTATAGTGTCTGAAATCCCTAGCATAGAAAATTCCGAGCGCTGAGTTTCATGCCAGCTGAATGACAATAGGGAGATTCTGTTATACTGGCTATATTTATTTCTAAACAGTATTTTTAGGACTGTAGGAAGAACCTGCACATTCCTGAAAGGTTTTTGCTTGCTCATGAGATGCTTTGCTCCCTGGGGATTGCCAGTGCAGAGGAGTGGCTAAATTGTTCATCTCTGTTAGCCTGACCTGGAAAGGGAGAACCCTTTTTCAGGGACTCTGGAAATGTTTGTCGCACGGATTCCTGACTTAGCAGAAGTGACTTCTCTGGGCCAGCCTGCGACAAAGCAAGGGAGCAAACATGAGGCAGTAACAGAGATAAACAGTCCCAGTGCAGGCCTTGTGGCCTTCTGTGGTTGGTGCTCTGGATTTATGCAACTTACTTTCTGATAATCTCTGTTTAGATTTCTCCGTTCCCAAGAACAACAGCTCAGTTCTTGTTTTGCTATGGATCTTTTGTGAGCACGAGATGGGTGATGGCTTGTAGCTTTCCTCTCACCTGAGACTGGATCTTCAGCTTGTCATGTTAACCAGGCTTGTAACTTCTTCCACAGCAGTCGGTCTGTTAGTGCAGAGCTTTGTGCTGTTGTCTGCTAAGGCACCAGAGGTCTCGATCCTCTTTGGTTTTGTGGAAACTTCTTCGTTAATTCTTGGCAGTGGCATTGATTTATTTTTTTTTTTTGTTTTCCTCAGAAATTGTGCAAAGACAAATTCAACGTGTTTGTTTTAACTAAATAACTCAAAATACCAGAAGTTTAATGTTTGTAAAACAGTAATGCTTTAGCAGCACAATGAAAAGCAAAAGTTAAAGTTGTTGAGTTGTTCAGCATGGGTTTAACCACCTTCCTATTATTAAGGCAGTTTTTAATTTGTAGTAGTCACAACTGTTTAAAAACTGAAATAATGGTTTGAGCAGCTGTTAAACATAGATGAGGCCTAGTTTATTATTGGTAAGGCAGCAGCAAGGAAATGTTACTCTTGGAGGTGACCTGTGGGCTTCCCCCGTACCTGCCCAGCTCCTTGCAAGCCCTTATTATGCTGTTCAAAACTACCTTAGAGAAATAAGGCATGAGTTCACATTTGGGAAAAAAAAATCAGAGAATTAAAATGGGAGAGAATAGCCTTTTACGGATTTATGGCCCAGGCCAGAATCTAAGCCTTTCCACATTCATGCTCTCAAGAGGAAGAGGAGGTGTTTTACAAAGACCTTTTCTTCCAGATTGTTTGATGGAACTCATTTTGTTTTCATAATTTCAAAGGATAGCATTAGGCAGCCTGACTGGATTTAATTTCTCCTTTCAGTTGAAAGCTCCTTAAATTTCAGCTTGATGTAGTGCCTGTGTCTCTAGTTCTGCAGTTCCAGGAAGGTTAACCAGTAAAAACAAAGTCATGCAAAACAGTGTGGTGTTTGAAGCTAGCTGTCCTTTCTAAGGTGCCAATGAAGAGGAGTAACTTTGCTTTATGCAGAAAGAGTAAAGTGAGAAACCCTAGTTTTAGTGTGAGTGCAATAATTGGTGCATGTGTAGGATGGCTGATACTCATTCCTACAAATTTATGTCTGTTTGTATAACTTCAGACAATTACTTTTTTTTTTTCCCAGACTCCATGAAAACAGAAGGCCAGTTGTGATGGCAGTCAAACTAACTGGGTGAGTTTATTTATAAAACTGACTGACTTTGGATTTTACATACCTGCAGATTTGTTAAATACAGAATTTTTTATTGGTGCCAACAGCCTGACTCCGTTGGTGTTTAAGTGGAGCTCTGGTATACTAGTGCATTCTTTTACCTCTGCTTCTGTTGCGTTGCAAGCTGTGCTAGAGAAGACGTAGGAAATTCATTTTACCCAATCAGCAATTGTAACAATGGACTACAAACCTGCAGAGCAAGCCAGTTTGCTGGAAAACAGGAATTCCTGCAGCGCAGCACTTGTCACAGACTATCCAAAGAGGGCAAAGATTCAGGAAGGTGAATAAATTGAACATTGGTTGAATGAGGTCAGGAGCAGTCTCCCGGAGGAGAATCCTGCCCTAAAATACTGCTTTGAAAGTATAAGCCAATTCAGTGCGCAGATTAACCTTTCTCATTTGAGCAAACTTGTGTGCAATCCTGGATCTTTGCAGATCACAACCGGACACTTCAAAAACCTATGTACTATATTTGTTAAAAAAAAGTAATAAATCATAACTTGTCTTGTTACAGCTGTTACTTTTACCATTTCATTGAGAATATATGCAACATAAATGTATATTTGACTTGAAGCAGTATCATACACTTGGTAAAATAACTCAGGTTATCAACAGAACTATTCTGTGGGGCTCAATATTGCCTCTCCATTCTTCTCGGTAAAGTGCATTAACCATTGCTGTCATTGCCAGAAATCAGTTCTATCTATCTCAATTGTTCATTACAAAATTCTTGGTCAAATAGAATAATTTAGAATAAATTATTCTCTGTTTTTATCCTCACAGAACGCTTAAAGATCCTGAGCATCAGACTAGACTTTTGTAGTCTGATGTTCATGAAAACCATGTTCGCTGGTTCACAGTTTAATCATTCTACATCTCAGTATTTTGTTTTGCTTTTCCCTTGCATACTAGGGAGTATGATGAAGGTAATACTATGATCCAGTAATGCGCATGATGGTAAGGGTATACCTTTAGTTGTTTCAGGAAAAAGCTGCCGTTACCTGCTCTCTTTTTCCTTTCTTGATAGTTTCAATAATATGCATAACACGAAGTGTTTGTAAATTGATAATTAAACTGTTTGTGACATCACCTAAATAAATTTTTATATATAAATACAATTTTTAATCTCGGCCTTTTTTCCCCTTCCTCGTTCTTACATTGCCACTTCCCCTTTTGTAAATGCTTTTTCCAGTCACCTGACCTTTTGCAAAATTTCTGGGTTTCAGTTGTTAAAGCACAACCAAATCTTAACTATTGGCAGAAAATCAGCCTTTGAAATTTGCTTTCTGTATTTTGCAGAAGTGCTTGATAATGTTGCAACTGTAGCTTATTCATCTTTGACAGTTGTGAAGACAACTGCCTTCACAACAAGGTATCAATCAGGCCTTGATCTGTCTGAAAATGAAATAGCCGCTGTACTGGAGTACAGGTACTTTCATGGCCTCCAGACTGGGACTCTGATCCAGTGAATGCTGAGATACCCGCCTTCAGTACAGTAGAACATAGAGTACTTTTACATGTGGAATTACAAGTTACAAAACCTTTCATTTTTGAGAAGAGGCTTAAGCTCAACAACCAGATCACTCATGACAGTCTTCCTTTGTCCTGTTTTCTTCAGAAATCAGAACTGCTGTTAGTCACCAGTCCTTGCTGTTTCTTCACCATCATTGCTACACATGGACCACTGCAGGCATCTCCTCTTGAGGAAGTGCTGGAATAGTAGCAGCATTTGGGGAGAGGGAGGTGTGGAATGAGGAAGGATGAGCAGATGTTGGTTTCCTCAGTCCTACTGGTGAATTGCACAAGCATGGGTCTTAACCTACTGACTCAGAGCAGCGAAGCAGTAGCAGTTTTGTTGTCCAATTTGGGAGCAACATACCCAGCTGGAGTCTGAAACACTTCCTAGTGTTTTCTGCTGAGTCCTTCTGCCAAGAATTTGTTGGGTTTGTTACTCTCTCCAGCCTTCAGTCTGGTGCCCTTCCTGGCACTCTGGTCATCTCCCAGTTTCCTGGTTGCTACTGGTGCAGGGTTGGACCACCCTGTCTTCTGGATCTGCTGTAGACAATTGCCGAGGCTCTGCCTTGCACTCTAATGTCAGTGACTGCCTTAAAATTGCTGTCTGTTTTCATAATGAAACTTTCCTTTCAAATTACTAGCAGTGGTGTCTTTATGACATGTGGGTGTCGTCACTCCCCCTCCCCACATGCCTCCCTTCTTTTTTCTTCTTCATAAACTTGTCCTTTGTCGCTGTCTTGGGGCCACCCAGTAGTTTCACTGTGGTACTTGTGCATCCTTTGGGGCTTATTGTTGCACATCTACTTTCCTTCTCATCACTGTGCTGTAAGCTAATGCATGAAATTTTGTTGCTAGTTTCTTATTAAAAGTGTTGGACTTTAATGGGTTTCTTCAAATTCCAGCAGTTAGTCCTGCATGGGTTTGCAAGTCATTGATGCCAGCTGACTTACCTGTACAGCTCCTGGTGGTGCCTTGTCCTTGTTGAGTCAGTGTGTGCCTTAAAAGGATGGTGAAATGCATATCTTCTGTTCATCTCTGGTTTATGAGTAGATTGATTTCATTGATTGTAAGCTAAACTTTTTGTCATTTACATGTGGCATGGCAGGCAGCATGGAGACACTGAAGATGCCTGCTCTCTGAAAGCAAACATGAAGGATAACCCTTTAACTAAGTGATAATGTGAAAATAGAGCACGCTGTTGATGAGAGTCTTAGAGTTGAGATGAACCATGGTTGTATTACTCTTTCAGTAACTCTGATCTGCAATGGAAATCTCTGGTATGCAGGAATTTTATTTTTCTTTTATACTGTTTCTGTAAGTCCTATTAGCTGCAGCAAAGTTGCAGCAAGGATTTCCACCAAGACTGATGGAATTTCCAGTTGTGAATACTTGTAAAATATGCTTGGAGGACCAGCATCTTATGGAAAAACAGTTTTTGTCAGGTGACTAAAATTAAGTAGCGTGTGTTCCTGGGGAGTAATTTCAGGTAAGTTTATTTTTAGGGATTTCTAGGAAGACAGGATGGTCCCGTCCCACCCCCATCCCCCCCGTCCCAGTCCCCCCCCCCAATGTGCTTTTTTGTGTGCTGTGTTGGTATTCATTGTTATTACAAAGAACAAGTTAAAACCAGCACATTGTGACTGACAGCACAAAATGTGTTGCAGTTTAGGAATGAGACTAAAATACTGGCTGGGGAGTTAAGCTTCAGCAGAAGTAGAGTCAAATAAATAGGATTTCTAAGTTCCACCTGTGCAGCAGTTAGTTTTGTTGTTTGGAGCATGTGAAAACAATGAGGTCATGTTAGTACTCTCCTGGCCTTACTAGTGTAATGATGTGTTTTTAAAGGTAAGACGACAGAACAAGTTGCGTGTGGGTAGCCTTTTGCAAATTTAGCAAAACCAACTGCAGTTGAGCAAAATTGTTACTTCTGAGCTTTAATGAGGTCTTGTCAGTTACTTGATGTGACTTCCAATTTAAACTTAAATGTTGATTTCCCATCCTCTTTATCTCATAATCTCACCAACTTGTTTTCTTCTTCATAAAAGTCTTGTGAACACAGCAAGCATGTCGTGAGGGCCAGCCATGGGATCAAGCAGCATCTGACTGGACTGCCTGTATGTACGGAGCCTTTCACCCCTGTGTAGGTAGTCCTGCCAAGTTGGTATGAACAAATATGAAGAAGCTCAGTATATCTAAGTGTGGCTGGATGGAGTGCACTCAGGAGACTCCCTGGTTGCCTGCAGGCTCGTGTATTTCTGAGAAGCCAGTAGCACTGTCAGCAGGTCTTTCTGTCCACCCCTGTGATAAAATCAAAACCAAAACCCCAGAGACTCTTGTAACCATTGTGGGGAGGGATGTGAGTCAGTGCTGACAGACTAGATGTTTGTGGAAATGTTGCCTAGTGAAGTTATCAAACTGATTTTTTTAGGTCGTATGCTTAACAGGGACTGTAAGAATTGATTGTATCTCTGGGAGTGCTTTTGGCAGTTCTTCCTACAAAGAGATTATGTCCCTGAAAACCCATCTGGATTCGTTATAAAAGCTAGAGATCTTACTTTTCCCCTCGTTTTGGCACTTGGGCTAGACTTTTACCTAATCACAAGTTCAGTGTGCATTAGTCCAGCCCACTACACCACATAATTTTTAGTCATGTTATCTGGAGGTAGTGCTTTTTTTCAATTTATTTGGGTTTGGTTTTGTTTTGGGGGATTTTCCCCCTTGGGAATTCTTGTCAAAACCAGTTGGTGTCTTTGCAGTCTGGCAGTTTGCTGGGCAATCAGCTAAGTGGCAGGCGAGATTTAAAAAGCAGGAACATGTTTACAATATCTTACATAATTACAAACTTGAAATAATTCAAGAAGTACTTTTACCTTTTTTGGTGGTTGTTGCTCGCTCTTTACTTTACAGAACACTTTCTTCTCCCCGGTGTTTCATTGCAGTGTTGCTGTGTTAGTATTTCCAGGGTAGCAGGAGAATGTTTACATCCAAACAAAATCTGTTTTCTCTGAAGTTTTTAATTGCAAACATTTGTGTCCATAAAAGCCTTTCCACAAAACTCAGTCACTGTGTAGCTTCATCTTTTTGTTTCTGTGCAGTCTGAAACTCAGATCATATTCAGTTGAGGTGTTTTTATTCTTTGAACTATGCAATATGAGCACTGTATCTGCATCTACGTCAGCACATGTAGAAAATGCCACTTAAATTGGCAGTTCTAACAACCTGAAGCGAGGAATGGCTGTTTGAAAACAGAAATATGGCTTACATTGGCTTCAGCTAGTAAGCTCCATCTGCACTACTGATTTTCAGTGTCCATAAGCACCCTAAATTATCTCAAAATAGGAAGTTACATGAAGTTAGAAGGCTATATGAAGTCTTTGCTTAGTTGATAAGCTGCAAGACAAGCTGATGGCAGGGGACCTGGCCTGTGTGTTCCCCTGTAAATGTCCCTGGCATAAACTAAGACAGCTTCTTGAAATGTATAACTCCATGCCAGGAGCTTGTACCTCCTCTGCTTAAACTTGACGCCATCTGCTTATGCATTCCAGCATTTATCTTTTATCATACCTCCCTTATATTCCCTATTTCTTTTTTCACTCCCTAACAGTCAAATGTCATTCATGCCAGTGCTTGGAAGGGAGAAATACCACCAGTGCATGCAGGTGGTTCCCTACTGTATTCATGTCTCCCATGGATGATCCATGCAGTGCTAAGTGAAAATATTTTTTACGCTTAAAGCTGGGGAATGAAGTTTATGCAAGGAGTCGACAGAGGTGCTGGGACTCCAACTGTTCACAACTCTTAAAGATCAGCTTGAGGTAGGGAGATCTCTGAGGTGCCTTTGCCCAGGGCGTGCAGATGTGCACCTTTCTGCACATGGTGTGACAGCAGCTTGTGAGCGACTTGAGGCAATAGCCTTCTCAAAGTGTTGTGCATTGGGAGAAGCTCTTCATTTTCCTTCTTTCCTTGTCATTTTCGTTGTCCTTTCTCCCTCACCAGCTGTCTCCCAAGCCAGGTATCTGACTTTGTTACCAAGTACCAGTGGATAACGGGAAATCTCACTGCCATTGCATTGGATTGTTGGGAAAAGTGAGTGGGTTTACATCTGCAAGATCATGGATTTTTCCCAGAAGCAGCACAATAAATTTGTTGGTATTGAATGGCAAATAAAGTGACTTCAGGGGACCCAGTCTGTCCTTTGTTTTCCCACTTGGGGGAAAAAAGGATTCGGCAACCTGGCTTAAAGTGGTGCTGGCCAGTGGGAAAGCCATGGGTAGCGTATCTTTATGAGATTTAGTACCAGAAAGTGAGCATGCACATTGTTTCTGCTGTAGGTAGTTTGTAGGCCAATATATGAGCAGAAGGAGCTCTGGCCAGTAGGCAAAACTGGTCAAGCTGCTGGTGATGCTGACCTACCAAGCAGAAGGGTGTTTCATGGAACTGGTTACAGAACTGCACAGCTCAAGGAGAGACCTTAAAAGAGCATTCCTCTTCTTGTGCCTTAGCATGCTTGAAAAAAAAATAGACACAAAAAGTACTTTTATTGTATAACATAATACAGTTGCAAATGCTTTCTGAGACGAGAGTGGGTGGTGTCTGGTATGTA